ACACACACACACTCACTTTACCTTGATTACTGCCCCTTTTATACTTGGCTTCCGTCTGCCTAGGTGATCTACTTGCAGCCCCTCCGAGAGCTTCCCCTCGGGGAACTACAGTGACCCTAAATGACCCTACGGTGCTTTTCGCGAGCGGTCGCGACAGTTTCAGCTGTGCTCATTGTAGTAGAACTTATCTCTCCCCTTACAGTATCTAGATTAAAGTATAATTTTTTTTTTTTTTGGTTATACCAGACCGTTATCTTTCTTAATGTAGGCTCTTAATAATCAACCTACAGTCCCTACTCTTTAGGTTGCAATTCCTTGTTGTATTTATGGCTAAGATAAAAAATTAATTTATTTTAATACGGCTATCAAAGGCAGATACTGACGACAACGAGAAACACGAACTGTAGAATAAAACTAATCAGAGATCAATAAATTATTGAGAGAACAATAGAAAAATTACTGATCGATGGAAGCGAATAAAAGCTCTATTACACGAAGGAGCAGTTTATCTAAACCAATAAGCGAAGCGGATAGAAGCTTGGAAAAAAAAAGGAAAGGAAAGGGACTAGTCTCCTGAGACTGTTATTCAATGGAGGGATGAGTGCTTTCTTGTTTTATTTATGAAATTTTATACATTATCGTTTTGTGGGGGAAGAAGGGTCTAGAATTCTGTCGAAAGTTTTTGAAGGAAAAGGGAAGCTTTTTACTGTTCTTTTGTTCTACTCGTACCAATAGTTAAGAGTTTGTTATAGAATTTTACTGTATAGCTTTGCTAAAATTTCTGTGTTTGATGAGAAACCTTGACACCTGTCAATCAATGAACCAAATTATTGGACAGTTTAACAACTGATCACCAAGTTAGAAAAGCTTTGCAGCTTTTTTTAAACCTATTTGGTTGTCGTCTAACCTGCTGTGCTTTTCCTTGAGGGGCTACTCAAGGAGCCGACGGTCACCCCTTCGAAGTCCCTTCAGGGAGTGACGTCGTTCTTGTAACGCATGTGCGTTCCGCGTGCGGTCGCGTCAAAACCATGAAAATATTTTTTATTCTCTGTGTTACTCCATTTATTAAGTAACTAACGCATCAGTTAGTCCGAAGAAAGTAGTTGTTAGTGCGGGATCCAACCTTGTTGACAAGTACAGCTGTCTTTTAAGTATTTAAATTGCTGCAAATTCAACGAGGGTTATTATTTTCAAAGCAGTACTCTTGTTCAAAAAACGTAATAATATTCACAGTCGGAGACCACAGTATAGCCCTAAAGCAATTGAAATTAACTAACTTTGTATGATCGATAAAAGCGCTAGTCCATAACATTTCTGTTGCATTTTGTCTTGAAAGTTGCTGTGCTCTTTCGCTTGTACTATTTGGATAGGAATAAAAGATTTGGTTTGTTAGGCAGACAAATTCTGCCTACAGATATTACAGACTGATACTCATTTAGTGGTAGATCATTTACACGTTCTACCTGTTGCATAGGGAGTTTCAGCGCTGCGGTTTATAAAAGAAAGTGTTCAAAGAAAAGAAATTGTATTGGCGTGTGTTGCCAAACCCGCTTGTATCTATAAGATTTTCTGAGCTGTGTTACTGTAGGATAGACTGCATCTTTACCGCCTTTCAGGTAAAGCAAAGCATAAATTTGAAATTATGATAAAGAAATATTTCCTCTATCTGACCTTTACATCGTTTACGAAAGTGGTCTGCTGAGTGCGACTCACAACAGCGACACTATGGAAGTGAAAAGAGGCTGTTTGTTTTAGTACAGCAATTGATAAAGAACTTCCTTATTTAATTCATTTTGGTGATTCTCTTTTTTAGCCTTGTCCAAATCTCTTATTACGAATTTTTTTTTTCTTCCTGGGACTTCTTAACACCTCTGGTGTGTGCGCCGTTGCCGCTCTTTATAATTTTAATATCTGAAATTTTTGCTCATCATAATAAGTGCGTAGAACGTCGAAGAGCGCAGGCTGTAAAAGACTGTTTTGTAATTTTGTAAAATGTTTTTAAGTCGCGGGGAGTGTGCGTTTCGAAAACCACTTGTCAAGCTAAAAAACTTTTTTAATCTTTTTTGTGAGAATGCGTCTGTAAAAAACAAAGAACTCCAAAAAACTGTTCACTTTTTGAAGTCAAAAATATGATGTGCAGCCTGTCAGTCTTTAAATTTGCAAAGTGTAAGAAACTGATTTTCTTTCGGCCATGCGCTCGTAGACCGGTTAGTTGACTTAGTGTCTTTTCTATTCATCGCTGTCACGTCTGAAAATCTTTTATTTATCTTGTGTACTTTTGGTTTTCTGGGTACTGCTGAGCCGTTAAAGATCGCAATATTCGTTTCTGATCTGTCAAATAGTCAGGTAAATTTCAGTAATTTTGCTTGTTGTATACTTGGTTACAACAGACAACTAAACGCTATGGCCAAAGCGCAAATGGTTTTTTGAACTACAGGAGCTCTGCTTTGAAAAACGTTGCGTAAGACACTTCCCTTTTGCATTGGAAACGTTTTTTGCAGCTTATGTCGCTCAAAATTATAATTTGCATGCAAGGCTCGTTTTGGAAAAAGACATATAACGTCAGCTTGAACGATTGTTTATGCTCTGTCAGTGAATCTTTAAACCTACAAAAAACAATTTTAAATTGATCAAAAACAGAATGGGGATTATAAAACCACATTCCTCCTGAAATCTAGATTAACAATTTCTTTTCGGAACAAATTGTTTATACTGGTTCAAAGAGAAGTATTACTGGAATAACTTTTTTGTTCTACAAGATCATTGTTTTTGCAAAGTAAGGCTTCATTCTAAGAGAAAAACGTTTCCTAAAAATTTTTGGTTATTTCTGTATAAATAATTTCTGTTTCAAAGAATTTAGGTGATATGGGATTGCCGGGTAGCAAAAACGCTTTACAAGGCCGGACACCAAATTAATCTTATATATCTACAATTTGAAATGATTAAAAAAAATAAACTTCCACCTCCTGCAGGTGTCACAGGTTATACATTTACTATTGCTGCTACCGCATCACTACTATGTTACAGTTAATATGGTCATTATCAGTGAAACATAAAACAGCGGTCATTAATAGTATGGACCAAAATTCCAAATACCTTTTGAAAACTCATTCTCGTTATAGAAGCCCAATTACATGCCTGTTCAAAACAAATCACATAGAGTGGTGGACTTCTGAACAGTTCTAATTGAAATTTTACAGCTTTATAGCAGTTAACTTTTTATCAAAGATTAAAATGCATTTCCGCTACTTCAAACGTCAAAAAAAATAGATAAAAAATAATTTCTGAGTTTCTCAGGAAATTCTTATTGCCAACAAATTTTGTTTAACTTTTAGCACGTCTTTTCTGTGGTAAAATTTGATCGTGACTAAAAATAAACTAAAAACGATTTTTATCATAATATTTCTAACTTAGATTATTTTAAAACGAATATGAAATAATAAATTCGCCGAACTGAGCTTAACAAAATATCACTGAAATAAAAACAATTTTTTGTAACACGTACTGGATGTAGATCATTTTTTCAGTAGTATTTTTTTTGAAAAAGGAAGTAGAAAGTTTTTAAACTGTCTGATTCTTTTAAAAGTAAAGATTTTTGCTTAATATTTTTTATATCTTAAGTGCATAAAGTGTTCCATATTCAGTCTTTTATTTTTTCTTGAATCCCCATTAATTACATCAGATTTTCATTAATTCTGTGCTGGTTATAAGTTCCAATTCTACAATTGCAAAAGTGTCCGTTTCTCAAGTTTTTCTGCTACAACATTAGAATTGCCCCAACTTGGCAAAGTGCTTGGATGATTTACCCAAACGTAGCCAGATTTTGCAGCTTATAATCGTTTTCTTTTCGACAAGCAAAACGCTTTTATATATATTTGAAAAAAAAATGAATTACCCTTTTAAACCTATTTCTTCTCGTTTCTGTTACTAAAAAGCTGCAAAAACAGCACAATTTATAAACTTTAAAAGACAACCGCAAAAATATGAACTTTTTAAAGATACCTCTTGTGTAAAATCCAATTTCTCTAAACTCTAAGGTAAGACTGAAGCGCCAAAATGTACTCTGAAACGAACTGTATTATTTCTCTCGCCATTGCAAACGTTGACCTATGAGATGTAGCAGAATGAGAAGCAGTGTTTTCAAAAAAAGATAACTAGAATCCAAATAGTACAGTCTCAAGCGTTCAGTCACCAAAACGAGCTTGTTACAGCGCAGTTTAAGTGTTTTTAAAAAGTAACTTTAACAAACAGCATAAAAGTTGAAACTAATTTTAAAGTTCATCACTTGTGCTGCCTTTGCAGTTTTTTGAGAAATATGTAAAAAGACAAACAACTGGGACTTTACTTAAACAAACCTGAAAACACTCCGTTCAAGAAAAAGTTTCCAAAGAGGGAAATACATGACCAAAAAATACAAATTCTTGTTGATTTAGATGAGTTCCAGCTTTTTACGAAGAAGCCAAAGCGCTGAGAATTCAAATTTTTTCTTTAAAAAGTTCGGGATTCAAGTTTCATATATCGGAGTTAAGAACATATAATTTTTGCAGATTTGAAAAATCTTGAAGATTAACAAAAAAAACTGTAACTATAGAAGCAAATGACCCACAAATGGGTTAAAATAACCTTTTTGTTTTTTTTTTTTTGGCAGAAAAACAATCAGTCTTTGACTCTTTGACTCAAAACCCTTCTGAAATTTCAAAAAACATTATACGCCTTTAACCTTACTTTAGAATGGATATATCACGCATACAACAATGAGTCTCAAAACGCTGCCGAGGCAGCTGCCTTAATTTACGAGGTACTTCGAAACAAATCTTATTTTAAACATCAGTGTGACTAGAAAAAACGATGCACATAATTCTTCTAAAAATAGAAATTACGTTGTTGAAACGTAGTCCTTAATCATATGTACAATAAACTGCATTTTCTCGCTTTCTTATCAAGGAAACACCCTTCTATTCGAAAAGAACCATGAGCGTTATGAGTGTTTTTATCCATGAAGTGGTGAACAGTTGTGAAGGTAAGTTCGATTTTTTTTTTACTATTTCAAAACTATTAAATGCAATAAGTAACCTTAATTAAGTAAGAAAAAATCTAGACCTAAAAATCTGCTTACTTTATTTCGATCTTCCAGAACTGACCAATTCATCTTTAGGATTACTGCAGAACAAAAAGTTCTTCAAACGCCTAATGGATGCCAGATTTGACTTGGCACTTGCCAATGCGATTGGCTTTTGTACTGTTGGAATTGTTTATGCCGCAAAATTTCCGACGTGGATATGGATGAACAACGGACCATTGATTGATTATGTTGCAAACGCTGTCGGAGTTCCTTCCATCAGCAGCTACATTCCATGTGCCAATTCTTCGTCTCACTTATTTCAGCGATGAATTTTTTTTCTGCTACTCCGTTTCAGCTCGACGGTTTTGTTGCTTAATTCTTAATCTTGCTACGGCAAAAGAGGCATAAAAGCTAATGAATTCTTCGCTTACTGAAAGCTTTCTAGGAAAAACAGAAGTTATAGACAAACGCACCAAAAATAATATAAGAAATAAGGGGAATAGTCAGTTGGCAAAGTCTAGACACTGGCAGTTTCTTACCTAACAAAAAAAAAAAACAAAAAAAAATTTCTTAAAGTTGTTAAAGTTTATCAGTTTCTAAGATTATAAAATCCTGTATCTAACTATTAGAATGTTTTTAGGACAGCTATTAGGAAACTGTATACGCACTGGCCAAGAACCGAATGTCACTTCTGTGTATTATTTTACCTCTTTAAAATTTAGACTGCCTTTTCTCTCTTTCATTTACAGTTATACTTTATATCGTTGATTATTTTTATAATTTGAAAGAATACATTTTTACATTTAAAAGACGGAGGACGATTAAGGAAACTGCGAAAACCTTTTTGTCGCAAATTGTCACAGCTAGTGATCGTTTTTTTTTTTTTTTAATTAATACTGTGCAAATAAATTTAGCCACTAATTTCTTGTTGAAGTTTACTATATCTAAGAAGCAGTTTGATTGGCTATAAATATCAAGTCTGCTCTCTACGCAACTTGTTTGCAATCTTCGTTAGAGAAATAATGCTTACAGTGGAGAGTAAAGGCGATAATCGTTACAGAGGATTTTCCAAATTACATAAGTGGGAATGTAGGGGAAAGCACATTTTGTTATACAACACTTTCTGAAAAGCCTTCCGAAGCTAAAATGGTGCTTTGATGCCGTTTTCTTTTTGTTAAAATTTCTTTGCAATTTATTTTCTTTCTGCAGTGTGCTGGGCAACAAGAGTATTAAGTTTCAGCTGTGGTACTATCATCCAGTGATGAAATGACGTTTCTTCAGCGGCTTCAAAACTTTTTCTGCAAACCATTTTTCCACTGACGACACAAAAGTAATCTTTTTTGTGCAATCTGGTCAAATAAAAAAAGTCAGTTTATGATCCAAAATTTGGAAAAAGTTTGCAGGAAACTAAAACTGAGAAGTACTGTGAGAACTGATACTGTTTGACTTTATATATTCGTCACTGAAAAGGGTGCTTTAGCAGTCCTAAAGTGTTCGACTGTTCCAAAAAATATGCAGTTGAAAAGTTTAAACATTTAGACCACTTTAATCTAATGAGAAATTTGAAGAAAATGGTGATTTTTGAAAATAAAACAACTTTTTTAATTTTAAGTCTTTCTAACCATAGATTTTTTTGTTTTTGTTATTTACTTTTAGATCCGTTCTAAAATCTTTTTTATTAAAAATATAGAAATACGACTGTTTAAGAATTCTCTTTACTTTTGTGAAAAAAAAGGCTGGTGCTAGCAAAACCAAATGAAAAATGTGTGAAGCACTTGAGGAGTTCTCTGTAAAGCAACGAATAGGAACAGCCGTAAAAATGTATTTTTAAAGGAGAAGAAAAGGGAGAAGCTGAACCTGGACGTCCTTCGTATGCTCAGTAAATTGTAAGGGATAATGCGGGCCCAAGACTGCAAATCCTCTACTCAAGACTTTTAGACTGGTCCTTTTTTAGATGGTACTAACATTTTTAACAAAAAAAAAAAAAAAGAACGGGTGCAGAATGAAAAATATAAGGGAGTTTAACGATAGTCAGACACACGTCATCTCTTGGTTGGATGACAAAGCTAAAAACTGCAATGATTACTGCATTACGAAACTTTTTGGAACACGAGCTTCCCAAATTTTTAGCAAGATTTTTTGGACCCACCATTGTGGTTTAGTCATTGTCAGAGAAGCGACAGTTTTCTATATAAAGTGCTGTCCTATGCACTTTGCTCTCCAA